AGTCACTCTTCCAACGCTCGCCTTCATGGTATAGTTCGTTCTTGTATCTCACTCCTCTTGCATATTTATTGCCTGTCCGATTGCTTATCTGTCTGTCTGTCCACCTGTCTGTCTGTCCTTTCGTGTATCTACTTGTCTGCCCGCCTGTCTGTCTGCGTGTCTGTCTGTCAACGTGTCTCTTCGTCTGCGTGTCTGTCAACTCGTCTGTCTGTCAACTTCACCGTCTTTCAGCTCGTCTGTCTGCCATTCCCCGTTGTCCGTCCCCTTTGTCTGTCCGCCTGTCTGTGTGGCCTCTCCCGCCTATCCGTGCGTCTGTGTGCGCCTCCCGCGAGTCGACTGAATAGACAGAGAGACTCTCGGAATGCGGAGTTTGTCCACCATCCCAGGGCTCAAGGACCCCCGCCCGACAGAAGCCAATCGCTGTCCCCCACCCCCCAGCGCCCACGCGAGCACCGGGGGACACTTTGACACTCGCCACTTCACACAAACTTGACTCTGGCTTTGGACATCCGTCTCTCCTCCCCACCAACCCTGTCCTCAATTCCTAGCACTGTACCGTTCCTCCCTCCCACCTCCACTTCTCGTATTTTTTCCTCATCTCTGTCTGTCTCTCCGTCCCCACTCCCCCACTCGCCCCCCACTCCCCCACTCTCTCATCTGCTTCCTCCTCCTTTTGCTCTCCTCCACAGCATGAAACCACCTGTTTCGGACAGGCCCCCTAAAGCACACTGGCACAGACCCCCACATCGCAACCCAGCCCTGCCTCCCTCTATCAAAGCTACCCCTGGTTACGGCCTTCTCGACTGTTGGGGAAAGTGCCGCTAGCGAGCGGCTGTCTAAGCCGCCACGGCGCCGTCATTCTCCACTCGCTGCTGACGTTTGCACACCCACAGCAGGTAATCGTTGAAGGCCGGCTCGACCTAGGAGAGAGGGGGGAGGCCCAAGACGGGCTCGGTCGCCGCTCAATTTGTCCACGCCCGGTGACCCAATGGAACACGGGTCGCTGAGTTTGCAGCGCACTGCGCCAACCACGGCGCCACCGCTCCCTCCCCCCCCCATGTGTTTCAGACAGCCCTAACCCACACATCACATCTCTGCTGCCTCCCCCCACGACCAACACCACTAACCCACGTTAAAACATAACGGCAGCCAACGCGCGTCTCATCTCCCGGCACGCCGCTAAAACGTTTCCCCAGCGGCGGCACCACCCAACAACATACGGCAAACAAAGATGGCATTGCGTTGTGTTTTTTTGTTTGCGTTGTTGCCGCTGCCGCCGCTGCTGCTATTGTTGTTGTTGTTTCAGTCGTTACGCGCGAGCCCGATTCCTCGTCGCGAAGGTGCGAGTGCCAGGCCTGATGGCGAGACGCGCTCACAAAACAGTCGCTGAAAATCCGGAACCGCCAACCTGCCCTCCGTATAAATGTTATTCTACATTTTTTTGAAGGAAATGTTTTTTTTCGTAGTCTTTTTTTTTCCCCCGTCCTCCTGCAAATTATATTCCAGCAGCGCTGCCCCCCCCCCCCCCCCCCCCCCCCCGAAGTTGAGTCGTGAAAGAAGCACGTTTCTGGTCAGATATCTTTGCCGAGCATAATCTCGCCTAGTTGGAGAACTGATCTGGAAAACGTCGTCATCATATAACTACTTTTAAGATGCATTAAAACTATATATATAGCGAGAGACCACGTATCCACACTGGGTGGTTATGCGCCTTCTCGGTCGCTTTGAAAATTAGTTGTTCACCGCAATAAATCAAATTGACATGTTTTTTTTATTTTAAAAGTTGACATGTACTTATTTAAGTGAAAACCAAAATTAATGTAATGAGGTTTTGTTTTCGTTTGTTCAGTCATTTGTGACAGAGCTGAGATCATCAACTCACTTAACTTTGAGATCCCAGTTTAAGCATGGGTGACTTAAAACCACATTCGAACTCAGAAACTCAGTGTTGCCAGCTCAGAGATGGTATTATAGCCCCTTGAGTCATCATGCAGTTGAAACACCGAGACAAGTTTGAGTGGGTTCACAAAGTTCAGTTGGCAGGGCCGCGTGTGGTGGGCTACAGTGTCAGTACTCCCACCTCATCCAAGTCATCTGGCCATTGTAGAAGAGTAGGCCTAATTCCCTCAACAAGCGCTCTAGAGCTTACTGCAGTGAACGCCCTCCTGCAAGCAACGGCGTGAGCAAGCAATTGCAGGGCTGCACCTTTGCCTGTTATTAATTTTAAAGCAGTCTAAGTGTGAAAACACATCCGTAGAAAGGCTATCAATTCTTAGTGTACTATTTTACATTCAGAAATCTGGTATCACCAAGTCCCGAGACTCAAGAGTCCCGGGTCTTGGTGAGGTTTTCCTGGGTGACCAAAAAAAATAATTTTCAAATATTTTTTTTGGTTGAAATGTTGGAAGCGCGGTCGGAGGCATGTGTTATTTTAGCAATTCGTGAAGAAAGGAAATTAAAAATTTGAGGGCGTATGATGTTTGCAGGCTGCAAGGTCTGAGTTGAGTCAGGTTTTAAACTTGACACTCCCCCCTAGACGCACAAAAGCTAACGGAAAGTGGGGTGTTAAGCACTCCAACATGTGTTGCGCAAGTTTCGCCGTGGCAAACCTGGTGTGATCCCATAAGGAATAACACTGTAGACCTGTCTGAAGTTTTTTTTTTGTTTAAGTGACCATCCTCAGATTATTTCGATTTTTAAAATATAATTTAAAAGCCTTATGGCCAGGTAGGACCCCCCCATGTAAATACAGGGTGAAAGCGGGCCACTAATGCATTATAAAAAAAACAATTGTGCGAGCTGAAGATTTGTGTTTTTTTGTTTTAACTGACCAACCTTATTTTAAATGTAATTGAAACTCCGTATGACCGTGTAGAACCCCATGTATATTCCAGGTAAAAACGAGAAAGCAATATATTTTTTGGACGTGCGAGCCAAAGCTTCTACCTTGAGTATCATGTGCAGTGCTCATCTCCACTGGTTGGCGTTTACCGGTGGTAAATTCCACATTGCTATGGTGGGGCCCAGACTTTATTATTATTATTTTTATTGTAATTGATATGCCGTTGCTGCTCCTGACTTGCATTATGGATAAAAGCCAACTCTGGTGCAGATGTATCTTGCTTACAGAAACGATTCATCACTCTCAGCGTCCCACTCCCAGCCCCGCCCACTTCCACCCGTCATAGCTTCACGTCTCCCTCTACTAGCGTCCACGCAACGATATATATTTTTGTTATTGCTGTGGTTTTCCCACCTGATGATGATTGCTTGTGTTGCGATCGAAACGTCGTGATTTATTTCATTTTTATACCTACGTGACTTTACCGAAAGAACCGAAGAGTAGAAACGCTACGGTACATCGGTGTGAAGAACCCAAGTTTACCAATATACCAAACAAAGTATTTGTATTCATATCTGGAGGCAGAATATCATTTCACTAATTTTCCTTCACGCATAAACGCTCTACATAAACGGATAAGTTGTTATACAATATAGCATCGCGTTATGCATTGAATATGGCCCCATAGCTTAAGATGAGTTGCTCTTGCCAATAACATGTGGTAACAGCAGCTGTTTTTTTTTTTAACAAGCCTGACCTTGCTGATGAGACCCAGAAGACGGAAACCGGTCAAGAATGTGCTTGCTAAAAAATACTACTGCTTAATATTTTGTCTGGAGTGCCAATAGGCTGACAGACTTGAGCATTATTTTTACTTACATGTGGAGCCACAAAATGGAGGTTACGCGTATAAGTGGTTTAATTATTTGCTCTACAATAGAAGCACTGTGTAATTCATTATTGAAATGTATGACAATTTAAAATGCCTCAGTGCAATTTTTTTTTAAGGTTCAAATGTATCCCGCTACAATTGAAAAAGTGCTTCTTCCTCATTGCTAGCACAGGACCAGTTGTGATAAAATCCCTTTCCTATGGTGTGGACAAGTCCACAAATGACTTAACCCCCCATAGCGTGGTAGTCCTGTTATAATTATCAATCACAGGTGGATGATAGGCTGAGCCTAGCCCAAATCAGAATTGAAACTCTCTACCTTGTGAATTTGAACTAAATTAGACATCTGGTTCCGCCACCTATGTTGAAGACCAGACAATTTATTCTCATCCATGCTGTATTCAATTGCCAGACTGTTGATCACATTACACTCACCCACCAGTCAACGCCTCACCTGCTCACTCACCCATCCACTCACCGCTTGGGGTCCTAAACGCTTGCTGATTTTGCTTACGCATAGGGCCACCACCGACTATTCTTCGCTCAACATCTCTTGAAGTGACGTGTTCAGCCCAAGCCCACTTGCTGAACAGTTTTAATGGTACCATTAACACGTGTACGTTCCCTCGTCCACGTGTTCCTCTTTGTTTTTGCCTCTCAATGTAAAACCAAAAGTCGCGATTCCAAGACACGCAATGCAACAGGTATTGGCCAAACAAGTGTTGAAAATGTGCCTGCAGAACTTGGCAGGACCCTCCTTACAAGAGTCTTGAGGCTCGGCGAGGCTTTCCTGGGTAACCAAGCAGAATAATAAACGTGTGATACAAATGTGCCAGAATATGCTATTCTAAGCAGATTCATGGCTACGCTGTGCATTAAATCCGTCCCGAATGTATCAAGGCTGCCTTGACTAACTACGAGTCTCTGCTCAAACCGAGGAGCACTCTTATTCACCGTCGGATCTTCGTCAGTCAACGGGAGGCAATCTCTCCGCAAGGCGAACAATCGTTGACGTCGCACGAAAGGGGCACTCGTTTTATGAGCCTCATCGGGTGCGATGGGCCGGTGGATGTTGCATTAGTTCGACAGTTAAACAAGAAAAAAAACCTTGCCTGCTTAGTCACGTGTGTTTGCTGCTATACAGCTCAGTTAAGTCAGTGTCCTTTCTTAAGCCTAGCTCTGGAAAGTCATGAAGAGGCATGTCCGTGTCAACTACCGAATGTATTTAATCGTAATATATGTGTATTTGAAAAAGAGCATTTTTGTTTAAAAAAAAAGCATCATATATTTGTCAAGAGTAATAATGTTCATGCCGTTACAAAAACCTCGATACAACGTGTCATACAAAGAGTTAAACAATGCGCTTAGGAGTTTAAAATCTTAAGTTTACCAATGCTTATATAATTATATTTACACAGCAAACGACTTTTAGTGAATAGAACACACACGCACACAATCTTATTGAAACTTTACAATTGTTTTCTTCAGCACACGTTTATACACATGACAGTAGTTCGGAGCTAAAACTCTGTATTCCAAATATGTTACAATTATGTACATTCGCTTGAGATATTTGGAAATTCTGCAAATCAGCATCAAGCTTTATGTTGTCCACGCCTTTTCACAAAGTCCAACAGACGCGCGTTTAAATTCTAAAATACTTTTCCCACGAATGAAAAAGAAAACAGATTTCAGTTAACTTTGTTGTGTAGTACATGTACCGTTTCCTCACTCGCGTGTGTTTCCACGTTTTTGTTGCTGCAGCTGTACGGAGATATAGTGTATGCAGTCGATCTGCCGTCACGTTTGCAAGCATTTAAACACATTCTTAATCCGAAATACATAGCGCTGAACCTGAGGTTTGATAAGTGTGTTTTTTTTATTTATCACGTATGTATGTACACGTCGGCAGAAATATACAATTTGCAAAAGGGGGTTCCCACTTTGCATCAAAAGCAAAATGTCAAAATCAACAAGTCGGCATATATGTTCAAAGCGCACAAACAAAAAAACACACACACACACACATACTGTGTATTTACAATTGACTCGAGACAATCCCACGTCATTGCATGCATTTTCATATTCGCACAGGTTCTGAGAAAATATAAGCGTTCAGTATTTTTTGTCGTTTTTTTATATTTCAGGGTTGCATTTGTAGAAAACGCGACTTCGTCTGGTAATGATAAGACGTAAATAAATAAATGCTGGAGGGAGGCATTATTAGTTTTGATAACGAGGAAATAAACTGCACTACAGCTGGACTTGTCGTTGTGTTTTCCACCACTACCTCTTGCCCGCAAGTTCTCACCTTCAGAGCTGAACTGTGGCCATCGGCCTCAAAACAAACACCGATATGAGAAACTTCTGACTGACTGTATTTCACACGATGCGTTTCCCTCTGCGTTCACCATTCATCCACTCTATCCGTTAGTCAACACACAATCTGCAGCGTGAAAAACAGGCAAACACTTCTTCCAAAGTCAAAGTCAGTCCCCCTGTTCGTGTAAGCGATTAGACGGTGGATACCTTCCATTGGTAGCCCCAAGCCAGTGGTGGAAATCCTACATTTCCATGGCTAGGGGCCAGTCTCACACCCATTACGGATGACCGCTGTTGACTCCCCACAAATTGATACCAGCTTTAATCTACCGCGGAGGGATGATGGGCCGAGCCGGCACGCAACTGGGAACCGAACTTGCGGCCTCCCCATTGCGAGCCAAGCAAAGTGCTCTTCACCGCAGCGCCACCCGGTCCACACTAAGTCATTAAAGTGCTATACTTCCCGCAGCATCTAACGCACACCAAACACAACTTGAAAAACGGGGGGGGCCTTTAATAGCAAACGCCGTGAAGGGAAAAACAAAATGACTCGTGCAGTTGCAAGAAAATCGTCGAAAACGATTACTGTATATACATTTATATATTCATATATATGTATAAAGTAACAGGGTAAACATGTTTGCGTTAAGTCGAGCGAAGGAGCTCCTGCGAAACTCCGCGCGCGCTCAAACGCGCTCAAACGCCTCTGACATCGAAGTCGCCACCGCCATCGTCGCCGGCACCGGCGCCATCGGCATCGGCACCGTCGTCGCGTCGGGCACGCCGCTCACCCAACGGCTCCTTCTGGCACGCGTGCCCGAAGGAGCCGTTGTGCGAGCGGCGAGGCTCTCTCCGCGACGCCAAAAACCCCGTGCCTGCCGCTCTCGCGACGTCTCCAGAGTCCCGCGACGGGCTGGCGGCGCTCACCTCGCCCGGGTCGCCCGCGGCTGCTCTGCCGAATTAAATAGAACTTTAAGTTGCCTTCGTTAAATATGTCGCGAAAAGCGAAATGCCGGATGCGCATATGCAGAAGAGGATTGACTGCTGTAATGAATGATAATCGTATTAAAATGTGGTGAGGCATGTGTGCAATGGGGGTGGGTGGGGGTGGGGAGGGAGGGAAGGGGGCATGCCTGCCTCTTCATGTTCATTTTCGATATCGTCATCACCCTTTAAGGAAGCTCAATGCCGGAGTGGCTCACGGAGTTTTTCGCGGCCGGCACCTTGAGAATGACCGATGTGAAGCAGGGGCGCGTGCCTCGTGCGCGTTCTCCGTCGTGCACCGTGCCACCGGGCAGCGAGCGGAGAAGGTGGACGGCGGTTTCAGAGACTGGGCGGTGGCTGACGTCAAGAAGCGGCTCGTGGACTGCTGCTGCTGTCGTCGTCGAGAATGAAGCTGTCGCGAAGCGGTCGGAGTGTATTGACGATGGGAGACGGGGGGGGGGGAGGACAGGAAAGGGAGGGAGGGAATGCGAGCCCCCCCGCCCCCCCCCCCCCCCGCCCCCCCCCCGCCTTGCACTGGCTGGGAGTTTTATATTCACACACGTTGCGGAGTCTCGCGATCTACTCATCTTCCGCCATCCTCCGCCCGACGACGTCCAAAGCCATCTTGAGAGCGTGTGAGACACCCAGCTGCGAGAGACCAAAAAGAACAGATATTTCATTTAGATCACAGCGCACCACTCTTGTGCGTACGTTCACAATTAAAACAAAACGTGCCGTGTGTGGGAAGAAGGTTCGCGGAACGCTGCGCAAAGGAAGCCGGCGAGCTGGGTTACGTCCCCACCCACGGCACGCCACGACAGAGGTTGTAATTCACGTTTGACGCCACCACGCGCTTCCACAAGATCGACTCCGCCTGAAAAAAAAAACTGAGCGCGAGAACATCTGCACTGGGGAGACAAAGGCGGCCGTGTGTGATGCTGGCTATACTACTCCCCGTTGTGTCATACCGGTTTCAGGTCCTATCAACTAGATGTAATTGTACCGGTGGCTTATGGTGCAGCAGTTGGCACACTGTGCTACGAACCCGGAGACCCGAGTTCAATTCCCGCTCACGGCCAACATCGGTGACGATTATCTGAACTGGTCCTGGGCCTCCCCAAGGTCGACTCAGCCTCAAATGAGTACCTGGTGCGGTGTGTAAACATTGCCACTCTTACTATATTAACATCATATGGTTTGCAATGAAGCAGCTACATGGTATAAATAATGAATAATTTGTAACTCGCATAGATTCCATTCACTCGAGAGAGAGAGAGAGAGAATGATTCAGAGGCGTGGGAAACCACATAATCAGAATCGTTATTTAGACATGAGGAATCCGATGAGCTATGAAGCTCTTTTTCACAGATGACCAAGTATGGGTGGGGTCAGCAAGTGACAGGCGAGCAGGTGAGGCAGCCAGAAACCGGCGCCAACAATCACTCAAGCTCTGCAGCCCTACATTGGGAAGCTTTGACCGACTCCACGAATGAGTGTGTGCGTGTGTATGTGTATGTGAGCGTGAAGGACGCTGCTGCTACTGGGCAGTTGGAGGCAGTCGCCCTCCAGCAACAATGGAGGGCAGAGGCAGAGGAGCTACGCTCACAACAACGAGCGGAGCGCCGGGTGGCTAAAACACAGCAAGTTGGCACAGTAGGGGGCACAGGTGGTGCATCGGCCAGTCATCTCAAGTCAGTCGACCCGTGGCACGTGGGTCTGTCCTGTGACCTCCTGCCAGCAGGCGTTCGACACTTCACGTGGCCTTAACATGCACATAGCCTGGCACAAACGCCGTGGTGAGGTCACCGCCGCTTAGTAGCAAACGGAGGTTGTTGTATGATCAGAGCGCTACGAAGGGGGGCCCGTCGTCACGCCACACAAACGCGGCGTCTCCGGCCGGCGGCCACGCCGTTGCGTCCGAGGGCCCCGCCCCAAACAAATGTGGAACGTGTTACGCAGCAGACCTCTCTCCGCGTGATCGATGGCCCTTCAAAGAGCTTAAATCCCAGCTTAAGGAGCGTCGGTATGAAGTGCTATACGACCGGCTTCAAATTGTACGTGGATAATTTACATCGCACGTGTGCTTTGTGCGGTGCTGGCGATGGTGGTGGTGGTGATTTTTTTGGTGGTGGTGGTATGTTGTGATCTCAACTTGGCTTCATTTTTTTTTTTACACAATATTTAGTGTTTCATGTTTTTATTGACTTCATCCATTCCATGTGACCGCGCGCTCTTGCCCGTGTGCTGCAAGTGTTCTGAGACCGTATCTTACATTCGGTTTATAACCACTGGCTGAAGCGGCATTAACATAATTTATCACCAGCCTGTTGTTGCTGCTATTAGAAAGCCCACATTAAGAACTGGGTCTCCCCCCTCCCTCATCTATCAAGCAACGGCACAACGTTTAACTCCATGCCAAGCACTGAAAATAACTATTGGATATTCCACGTTCCCATGACTGGGGATAGTCTCCCCAAGGCATACATTCTGTTGAATTTTCACAACGCGGTACCCGATTTACAATGCGGTACCTACCACAAAGAGATGATGGGCTGAACTGAATCCCCCAAAGAATACCAAGTCTTTGTTTACGCATCAAGGTGGTGCTCATCTCCTGTTTACAGCGCTGTGCCAGTGGTGGAAATACCACGTTGCTATGGCAGGAGCGAGCCTATCCACAGGAGAACCACTCTTGACTCCCCACAAAGTGGTACTAATTTTACCGATCCCTAAGAGATGATGTTCCCCTACTGGGATTTGAACTCGCAACATTCCAATTGTAAGTCGGGCACTCTTACCACCAAAGTTTAAAAAATCTTGAATCACTATCTGTTTTTTCTTTCTTCCTAAACGCCTTCCATATGAATGTGGAATTTCCACTACTGGCTCAGGAGATGAGCATTAACCAGCCCCCCCCCAGCCCCTTCCTGGAATCTGCCACTGATTTACAGATCTCTCTGTAAAAGACGCTCGGAGTTAGTTCTTGATTGTCTGCGTGTGGGTTACGCGGCGGGCTGCTGATCACACCAGGCCCGCGACCCGGCCACCGATTACTCCGCACGACCACCAAGCACTACGCGTGCCCCCTTTGGTGGACCGCTGTGAGTTATAGGACCGCTGTGAGTTATATGGCCGCTGTGAAATTTTATAGGGGAAAAAAATCAACACGTTATGGGGTGGTTTCTTTGACTCCTAAATCCCATCAACTCAATGTTTTGTTTTTTCCTTAAATAATTTACAGACGAAAGCAGCAACAAAACCATTCAACGCAAGTAACTATTTTTCTATCACCACTACCGCGGTTACTGTTCTTCTGAATTTCCCCCGTTGATTTCTCTACCCGTGTTGAGACTCGCTCCACCAGACACTGACTCTTTCGTCTCGCACACCACACTGTATTTAGCCAAAACACTGGAGGTCACAACAACGCTCACCCACTCATCCACACACCAGCTCACTCACTCACTCACTAGCCCACTCACTCACTCACGACACTGCAGGTCACAATAACGCACATCCACTCACCCAACCACTCACCCATACACCATTTCACTCACTAACTCGCCACACTGCAGGTGACAAGACCCACCCACCCAATCACTCACACACACACACCAACTCACTAATTCACGAGTCCACTCACTCACGCACTCACTCACGCACTCACCACACGACAGGTCACAACAACACACACCCACTCACCTAACTACTCCCCCACACACCAACTCACTCACTCACTAGTCCATTCACTCACTCACTCACCACACTAGAGATCACAACAGCGCACATCCACTCACTCACCCAAACACCAGCTCACTCACTCACTAGACCACTCACTCACGCATCACATTTCTCCTTCTGCTCATTCCCCGCCACTGCTCTCGTTTGTATTCCTTGCCATTGTTTCTTGTCCAAAACTCTGGAGTCAAACGTTGCTCAATTCAAGAAAACGCATTATCTATGACAACTTTGCTCGGGCAGTGCGTTGCTTGCCAGATGACGTTTTGTGCTTTTGGCCCTGTGATCAGCAACTATTAAAAAAAAGCATGAAAAGTAACATTATCCTTTGGAGAGATTACCTTTGGTTACGAGAACGTGCAATGTCTCCCCCATTGCTTCAGTGTAGGCAATGGGCATGAACGGTACACAAAGAGTTGCATCCCCCCTGATTGTGATGCATTTAGTACTCCTGCCGGCCCAACTACTCAAAAAACGAGTTTTGCCAAATCTCCAAATGCAGCGCTCTCGTGGCTAATAATTCTGAGACTCAATCTGCGCCGGACAAATACATAATGTCATAATAATGACGATACAACGTGTTCCTCTACATCAACATCAGCCACACGAAGGGAGAAGGAGACCAATGCAACTTGGAGATTTCCACCACTCGCTCGGTACCACCACGCCCAATGGTCGTGTGAGCAGGGGGGGGGGGGGCACCCCTTTAACTTTTCTAGTAAAGGAGTCCGAGATTTGATGCATTCTGCGCATTAAACACGAACAGTGACCCGTCCCGTTTGCCCACTGAGAAGCAGACCCCAAAGCATTGGCCCCCCAGTTACAAAGTAACCAGGTTCACCGTCACAGGATAAACCAATCACCTATTAAAGTGGACACAGAGCCAAGCATTAACTGGACACAAGCACAGCACGTGCACATTACAAACACACACACACACATTACACACACACTCAAACGCATTGTTCCATGTACACATGACAAGGGAGATGCCACTGTCATGGAATTACAAGAACAATTAACAGAGAACAACTCTGCGACCTGAGTCGCAGGGTTCATAGCGCAGCTCGCTAACCACCGTGCCGCCGTTCCACACGTAGGGAATTATACAAATATGCCCCGTGTAGCCTTAACGGGCTTTTTGGGGCAAGTGCTGTTAGCGAGCACCTATGAAGCTCGGCACGTCACACGAAGGGGGCGGGTGGCGAACACCCCGCCCGGTCGACTTCGTCTCCCCCGGTGACGATGTCTAAACACCCAGGTGCATATATCGTCACTAATTTCAGCCGTGAGCGAGAATCGAACTCGGGCGGCCGGGTTCGTAGCGCAGTGCGCTAACCACTGTGCCACCGCTCTCCACATATACGTATATGCGCACATACATACATTGAGTACATATGGACATGCAATGAGAATGTACTTTAACATACGCGTACACTACATCCGCATTGTAGAGAAAAAATGTAACTGTTATCTTTCGATTTAGAAAAAAAAAAAACCTTTTCCAACATCGGCTTGCAAATACATTTTCGGACAATTATCATCTATTAATTTGCGTGAGCCGTGCATTAAAACTCACCCAGACGGTGTAGACATAACACGACACACGTCAACGGCATCGTACATACCCCGACTGCACGAGGCACCAGGAGGCGTTCATTTGACGAGACGAGTCTGAGCCGCGGTCGTTGCAGCGATTCGACCGTGCACATCATGAACGGCGAGCCGGTGGGCGCTACGAATGGACGCGCGCGGCGCTGATTCGCTCAACACGACGCCCAACTCGATTACGGTGCACGCGAGCGCAATCAAAACTTGCGTTGAGTTCGAACGCCCGGGGAACGCCGTGGTGTCATTTGTAAGGCGTTACCGCGGGGGCCGAGTGTCGTCGAGGGTAAAGCGCCGTACTCACAGGTGAAGCCATCGCGAGTTCAAAATGCCGCTCGGTTCGGCATCATCCCTCGGGGGTTGATAAAAGCACGCGGCACTTTGTGCGCGGTCAAAAGACACCACCGTTGCACGGAGGTCAAACGGCTGCGGCCACAGGAATATGGAATGTTCCGCTGTTTGCCACTAAATGATCATTCGTTTAATTCCTGGTCATGGACGCACGGGCACCGAAAGCGCGGCGACCGGTATTCGAATTTCTCCAGTGACAACTCTAGGTCATCTCGGCCTGAAATTAACACCTTTCGAAGGTGGGTGGGTGCGCGTATGTGGTGCGGAATAACGCCACAACATCCCCAGCCTTAATAGTTGTTCCCCAACGGTGCTTGCACCCTACACCCTACGAGTGAGAATATACGTGTGCCTAGTGCCGCTCTACAAATACGCAACCTTACGAAGGAATATTAAGGACGCGAGCTGGTGCAACGGTTAGCTCACCGACAGCCCAGGTTCGATTCCTGGTCATGGCACACACGGTGATATATAATACCGCACACACATGATATATAATACTGCACACACATGATATAAAAACGGTGTGACAGTGCAGTGCAGTGCCCACCTGCTGACTTGACCCAGGCGTGGGCTTCATACACTGCATGCATCGTCGTCATCGTCGAAGGCTGAAAAGAGAACGTTCCATTTGTGTGAGTACGGCATGCAATTAAGTGCTCTCACCCAGCAGCGGACATTCCACATCATCATGTCGGGGTCATTGTACGTAGGCCGACCACTGCATCCTACTTGCTTGAATCCCCTCGCAAATCTAATTCAAGGCTTTGCTGAACACACGTATAATGTGCCAGTACGTGTACATTCGTGAGCATGCAACGTTGTACACTTTGTACGTGTCCGTGTGTAGCGGTGGTGTAGTGGTTTATTTGCTTCACGCTACCGGGGTCAGTTCCTGACCAAGGGATTATCTAAACCCGCAATTGGACTCCACCTTGGTGGACTCAACTTCAATGTAGCAAGGCACCCAGTGTAAAGGTGTGGTCGATATCAGCACTAGGGAGACAAAGCCATCCAGGGCGTTCACGATGACACTTTGCACCGCCTCAGACGCACGTCTGCTAACGCAAGCTGACCAGGAAGTCAATGCACTGCTGGATGAAGGCAGCCTCAGGGGTGACTGTTCATCGGTCGTGGGGGAGTGACCATACTTCTCCACCCTGGTCAGCACGGATTAGCGAAGAGGGGACAGCCCAACGACCGCCCGTCACTTGCGTTGGCCACGAGCGGGAATCGAACTCGGCCCGTCGGGTTCGTAGCGCGGCACGCTCAGCGCTGCGCTACAACACCACCACCCACCCTCGTGCAATAACATCGTCTATAATCGAGCGTACATATATATACAGCACACGGTTTGTTGTTATTAATGGGTGCTGTTGGAACATTTGATGATTTATTCTGCTTTGTACAGCACCCTACGAAAACTGACGTTATATTTTCACGTTTGCTTCGCATTATTTAATGATGGCGTTTCACCAGTAATTGATTGCTTTCATGAATGAGTGGACCGGGGGAAGGGAAGAGGGAGGGTTTCTTAATGTAAGTCAGGGTGGGTGCTGATAACATGGAGTTGTAATGTAGTGCCATGTGTATGGGCTAACAGACACGTAAACATAACAAAGACAAAGATCCCCCCGTATAGACATTTCAGGATGTTCGGGACAAGTGCTGCTCGCGAGCATGGGTACATGTGGTTTCATATACTTGACACACACTGCATCATACCCATGAATTGCTATTTGCAAATGCACACGTGGACGCATACAAAATCACGGAGATAAAAGATTCCCCGTAAAAGCTTTTCAGGCTTATGGGGCATGCGCTTGAAGCGAGCACCTTACTGAGGCCGTCAGAACACGCGAGGGAGCACGCAGGCATGGCCAGCAGCACGCGCGGCCGCCTTTGTCTCCCCGAGACAAAAGGCGGCCAACCGGGTACTCATGAGTCGACTCAGCGTCGGCCCAAGACAATCGTCGAGCGAGATTCCATCTCGGGGGGGGGGGGGGGGGGGGGGGGGGGTGTCGCGTTGTTCGGCCGCAGCGTTGCGCTAACCGCCGTCCCACCGCTCCCCATCAACGCAGAGGGTACACGCAGACAGACGCACGCACGCACGCAGCTCTTGGCAAAGTGACTTACTCTTCGCTTGGGTAAACCTGCGTTTTGAAATATTTATCACGCCACCCTGGACGGGTAAATTATGCATTAACTTGTACTTGGCCTCCAGGAATACCTTTAACAAAAATGTTTGCGCCTCCATTTTATTCTAAATTAATGGATTACTCCGGCAGTTAATGTAGGAGACACAAATACGCCATTGTAGGTGCGCAGGAGAGAACACGCACGACGCGATGCCTCCGTGCTTTTAACCCAGTGGCGAGTGATATCTGAATAGGACCTGGGCATGCATCCCTCCGCCTTCATCAACCCACACAGTGGTGGCGAGCGAAGGTTAAAACAAACCTTCGTTTCGGCGTGGCAAGGCTTTCATCCAGCTAGTGGATACGCAAAGGCGGTCGTAAACAATGGCACGCTCTAACGTACGCTGTAGAGCTCCACAGTCATACACGGTGGAAAATAACTTAAACACGTGTAACCATACAAGGCACAATGAGGCGAGTGCTGTTGGTGAACTCCGAGTAATTCCGGAATGATGCCATCGCCATGCCCAACTGCCCCTGCGTGCCCCGTTGCTGATGGTAACACTGCGCGGCGGGGCCACCCATTCAAGGTTGAGTCGACCGACTTGAGGCACAGCACACGTGGCAGATACCACCAGCCACGTGTGCTGAAGCTGTTCGTCACCGGGAATCGAACCCAGGTGCCGCGAGTGGGTTCGCCACTGCGCCACCGCTTCCCACGTGTGAGTGTATATACAGAGACAAAAGACAAAAGTCCCCCCTATAGCCTTTGACAGACTGTAGGGTGCAAGTGCTGTTAGCGAGCACCTATGAAGGCCAAGGGGTCGCGTGGCCAGCACCACGCCTGGCCGCCTTTGTCTCCCCCAGTGGTGATGTTTACGCATCGCACCATTTTACGGCTGAGTCGACCTATGGGGGGGGGGGGGGTGGGGGGTGGGGGGCAGCCCAGGACCGGTTCAGATAATCGTCACCGATTCCGGTCCATGAGCGGGGGAATCGAACTCAGGTCGCCGGGCTCGAGACGCAGCTCGCTAACCATCGCACACACGCGCGCGCACACACTGCACGCATCCAACACACAGACTACGCGCATCCAACACACAGACTACACGCATCCAACACACAGACTGCACGCATCCAACACACAGACTACGCGCATCCAACACACAGACTGCACGCATCCAACACACAGACTGCACGCATCCAACACACAGACTGCACGCATCCAACACACAGACTACACGCATCCAACACACAGACTGCACGCATCCAACACACAGACTGCACGCATCCAACACACAGACTGCACGCATCCAACACACAGACTGCGCGCATCCAACACACAGACTACACGCATCCAACACACAGACTACGCGCATCCAACACATATAGTACTAATGCTGCATTGTGACTTAGCGGCGTTTGCACGCACACACGAAGAGACGCACACGCGGTGCAGTTGTGTGACGGTTGCCGAAATCGGAATGGGATGAGGTGAATAATAGACGACGTAACGGGGATGAGCGAGCGCAGGAGGATGGGAGTGACGTTGGCGAGCCGGACTTACTCGCGAAAATCAGCGCACACACCGAGCAATAAAGTTTGCAATCGGCGCGTCTCGCCTAAGCGAAGAATCACGACGGGGACAGCGAACGAGGCGAAGATAGGAAGTCTCGGAGCCGCGCACGCTTAGAATTTTACCGAGAGGCAGAGAGGGGAGCACGTGGCTTGAGGGAACACGGAGTGACTATTTAAAAACGAAACTAAAACTGAACTGAACTAAACTAAAAAAAACTATATTATACAACAACAAAACGTTTGTTTGTTTGTTTTTTCTACCGGGTAAGGCCCATTGAGCTACGTGGCTCTTTTTCAGTGGCGACCTGGCCACAAATGATAGCTCAAGGAAGTGGCTTATCCCGTGGAAATTTATAGCGGCAGCCAAACTCTGTGAATGCACGTCGATTCTAAATACAGAGCAAAAAAAAACCACGGAGGATCCGGAGAAAAATCCACATGACCACGGGGAGAGAGAGAGACGCAAACTCCAAATATACAGCAGGCATCAGGGTCGGGATCAAATCCACGGCCTCCTGTATACTAGGCGAGGTAGTTAACATCTCTGCAGGGTCTGGATCAAACCAACGGCCTCCTGTATACCAGGCGAGGTAGTTAACATCTCTGCAGGGTCTGGATCAAACCCACGGCCTCCTGTATACCAGGCGAGGTAGTTAACATCTCTGCAGGGTCGAGATCGAGCCCACGACCTCCTGTATACCGGGCGAGGTAGTTAACATCTCGCCACGGCGATGACCCCAGTAACTGGGCTGGGGCAGGACACTTAGCGAACGGGCGTGATGGCAGATTCACGAGACTGGTGACGGAATGGCAGCCGAAGGAGAGAAGCTGACTCGAGGTGCGCGGAGCCGCAACGGAGATGGAACGATGAAATCTGTTGATGTCCAGCGCCGCTCCCCACAATACAGCACACCGCAGCAAAAACAATCGGACATCGGCAAAACAATGTCCGAACCCGTATATATCTGTGTACAGTATGCACATTTAACATATGTTATGATGAATACAGCCACGCACGTGAGCCTGCATATGCGTGTGGGGTCACAAGTCAAAACTAGGACAAGGATCCCCGTTGTGCCTTGCAGAACAAATAGGGGCAAGTGCTTTTAGCGAGCACTTATAAAAGCCAACGTGATGTTTATAGGTGTGGCGTGGCCAAAATCTCGCCCGGCCGCCTTTGTCTCCCCGGTGCTGAATTATACCCACACGACGCATTAGGCGCTCACTTAATGGGTGAGTCGACATTCAGTGTGGCTCAGTCGTGGTAGGGAATTGAACTCTTGTCACTGGGTTTGTAGTAAAGTGCACTAACCAACACGCTATCGCTCCCCGTAACATTTACAACGCTAATAAACAAAGATCGAAGATCCCCCATATCATAGCCTTAAAAGGTTGTTGGGGCAAGGGCTGTTAGCAAGCACCTATTAAGGCCGGCACGGCACACGAGGGGGTAAGTGCCCAGCACCTTGCCCGACCACCTTTGTCTCCCTTAGTGTCTTTGTTTACACACCGCACCAGGAACTCATTTGAGGCGGGGTCGACCTAGGGGAGGCCCAGGACCTCTGATGAGCATGGTTGGCTACGTACAAATAAAGTTCAACATACATACATACATAAATACAGGACCGGTTATAATATTCGCCACTCTTGTTAGTCACGAGCGGGAATTGAACTCGGGAGGCCAGGTTCGTTGCGAAGTGTGCTAACCATTACGCGACCGCACCCCCAACACACACTCACACACACAGTGAAATATAGAATGCATATAGCCTCTAACACACACAAGCATGCACAAGACACCTTTTCATTAGAGAAAACGGGAATAACACTAACATTTGCGTGGTTATTGCCAATATGTTCATACAAGTAATGGCTGTTTATCTATTTACTTCTCAAAGTCAGCTGTGGACATTCCATATTCCTGTGGCGGGATGTGTCTCGAAAGAACTACCACTGGTTGATTCGCGTACAGTGGTACTACTCGACCCTGTCGAGATCATGGGATGAGTCGAATCCAGACCAGGATTTGAACTTGTACACTCTAACAGGAATGCATCCCTATTGTGTCAATACAATATTACATATTAAAAAGCGAAAAAAACAAACAAATGCACAGTTATTAGTGCAATTATTTTAAAGCGTGTATTATATCATGTTATAATGGTTGTTAACGTGTGGCAAATTATATTGTCTAACGGTGAATGCTTCATTTTATCAGGGTTAAAACATCGTAATCAGGCACCTTCATGAAGACTCAAACATACTCAACTCTAATAACACAAATAACGACCAAAGAAAACAATTAATATTCTCGCAAAATAAACACATCGGTGGTCCTGAGCCAACTTTTATTTAAATTCAACATTCCCATGGCCAGGGACCAACCAGTATCAAATTCCTGGACTTTCCCATGAAGCGGATACCCAATGTTCTACACCTCAGAGGGAGTGGAGCCCAGGGCTGGTTAGAGTACTCTATAGCATTTTCACCACAGGACGCCCCGACTGTAATTGATGACTGTGTTACACTCACGGGGTACAGGGATATACTGCATGTTATAATGCACTGCGTGCCTGGCAGCGTGTGTATGCGGCACAGCGATATTCATAGAGACACTGCCTGTTCTGAAAGTGTTCAGAGGTACCCAGTCATGCAGTAGGGACTTCAAATCTGCTTGCAAGTGATTATATGCGACCTAAAAGCCCCCAGAGAAAGCTTGAGATTGTTAGCATGTAATTATTCTTACATAAATAAGAGTGATGTTTCATGAGTATCATATCCGACATCATAAGAACAATGGTATCCGGCTATTGTTGGCGATGACAATGCGCATGTATTGCAGATACGGTATGTAAATCTAACATACAATGTATGTAATAGGTAAAAAAAAAACATGTTAAATGTGCAGCCTCGCAATTGCTTGCTCAAGCCGCTTATGGCAGAAGGGCCGTCCACGAGAGGAGGCGCTAGGACATTTCTCCAGAGGGTGTTTGGCCTCCTCTTCTACCCCGACCAGTAGCGACACCGTCGCACGCGACCCGCGGACGGACTCGCTGTGGCATCTCCCATTCACGCCACTGCTGGGTGGACAAGGGGACCGGCGAGGGATTCCAGAAACTTCCCCCTAACGTTTCGAAATGCCGCATTGGGGAGGTCGACCCGGTCCGCTCTGTGAACCGTCACACGACCGGCAGTGTCCCCTGTTCTCTCTCTCTCTCTCACACACTCTTTCACGTTTTAACTATGACGTGAAAGTACGGTACGCGATGACCCTGCCCAAACACAAACAAGGGGGACGGTGCTCACCGCCGTTGGTGACTCTGAGCCGCTGGTGGTAATTCCACATTGCGGGAGCGAATTATTTTGATGGGATTGTGTATCAATAGTTAATTGTTCAAAACACGACATCGTTAAATGAATCTGATGTGTAGCTAATTATACAGGTGTTTGACATAGATTCATAATAGAATTTTAAGTGCTCTCAGAAATTATCTGACCTGTCATTAATCAAGAGGGCATTAGTAGTAAGTGTATTGTAAATACTCATGCACTCAGCATGTAGTACTTTGCACGTGTATAACGCAATCTGATCTGTGTGGAGGTGTGTGCGCACTGCGCTGTTGAACCTTGGCGACCAGAGTTCGATTCCTGCTCACAGCCAACAACGGTGACGAATATCCAAATCAGTCCTGGGCCTCGGCTAGGTCGATGCAGCCTTAAGGGAGTACCTGAGTGCGGTGTGTAAACATCGCCACTGGGTAGAATAAAGCAGCCAGGCGTAGTGGCTGGACACATCACCCTCTCGTGGAACGTGTTAGCTTTCATAGACGCTCGCTAGCAGCACTTGCCCCAACAGTCTGTTAAGGCTACGGGGGGATCTATTTGTGCTGCGAGCCGCTGGTGCACTGGTTAGCTCGTTGCACGTGCTCAATCACAAGGGGCGTGCGCTACTTGTCCCCCTCGCCACGCTTAGTTTGACTCAAGCTTAAACGAGTACCTGGTGCGGTGTGTAAGAAAAAGGCGGCCGGGCGTGGTGCTGACCACACCAACTCCCTCGTGCACCTTCGAAGGTGCTCGCTAACAGCGCCTGCCCCATGTGTACCTAGGACAGGATATATCGCAGAACATACTGTACAGAATTAGGAGTCCGAGTCATAAATACTTTGGTTCAAAACCCAAACCAGGGTCAGCTCTATGACCAGCGTGTGTTATGCACACTTTATGAATGAGCAGCTGTTTATCAATCCACTGCTGGATTGAAGGTCTCCCCAATGCTGAGTTCATTAGGGGCAAATATTTGACCATAATTCACCAAATGTGGGTTGGCGAAAGAAGTGGCTAGGGCCCGGATTGGACATCACTTGCCACTGGTGTTAGCCGCTGCTGCTCCCCACAATGACTAACTTACTTTCAATTATAACAAGACAACTATTGTAAACGTAACCGGCCCGGTGGTTCAACGGTATAGCGAGCGGCTCACAATCAAGAGATTGCGAGTTCAAATCCCCATTGAGGGTTCACTCAGTCCATCAACCCTCCAGGGTATATATAATAGGTACCCCACCTTGTTGTAAAAATCAACGGCAGTTGTCCTATGTTGAGACTTGCCCCTGCCATAGAATGTGGAATTTCCACCACTGCCCCAGGGCTTTAAACAGGAGATGAGCACCGCCTCAATGCTCATTTGAGCAAGAAATCACTTTGACTTTTTTTGTTTTACTCATAAAATGACAAGTGCTGTTAGCGAGTGCCTATAAAGGTCATCGCGGATTGCAAGGCACACCGCAATGCCTTTGAAAGCCTCAGTGTGTTGATAAGTTACACAAACCAGGAGGTACTCATTTGAAGCCCGAGCGGACCTCAGATGGCTCCGACTGCTCATGTGCATTGTGGCCAGAGAGGAATCGTGGCTGGCGGCAATTTCAGATTCAAACGAAATTCATTCCGAATGATATGCTGTGGCATTTTGGACTTATGGAGCAGACATAATTATACCAATGGCAGAACAACCGAAACAATTCTTGAGTAGTAACATTTTGAAAAACTCATTGCATTAGTGGGGTGGGGGATGAATTGTTAGATACCTAACACACACATCACTCTGTCACTTTCTTACTGTCACTCACACACGCTCGTTCCAACACACGAGCACAATAACACTCATTCACTCACACACACACACACTCTCCAGCACAACACGCACACTCACTCACTTACACAGACCCTGCACATGATCTCTGCAGCACAACAGCAACCTCCAGTAGCTGCTATATAGCGGTGACATCACCGCAGTGCCAGTCAAGGTGCACCTTAGCCCCCCCACCCCCCGACACACACACACACACACATACGAGACATCGCTGTGACCCCTCTCACCTCGCTTGCAGTCGAGCGCGATCATCTCCTTGCCATCGTGCGTCTCCTGCGTCTCCAAAATCCTCACCTCCGCTGCACCGCCGCCAGCGCCGACGCCGCCAGTGCCAACTCCGCCGCCGCCGTACCCCGCGAAGAGGTACGCAGGCGGTGGCACGCGATGGCCGGACTTGAACACCGTCTGGTAGACCAGTCCGTTCCCCGGCGGCGCGGGCAAACCTCGCAGACCACCGCCACCACCGCTACCGGCGCCGCCTCCTCCGCCACCGACGACGCCACCGCCGCCTGCCCCCGGCAACGCGCCAAAGTTGGCGGCGTAGCCCGCCACGCCGTAGCGCGAGAAGTACGCGGGCGACGCGCACGTGTAGTACGTGTGCGCCTGCGTGGAGGAGGTGGAGGAGGGCGATGCCGCCGCGGCCGCCGCCGCGGCCGCCGCAGCCGCCGCGCTCAGCATGCAGGGAATGCCCGCGGCCTGCATCGCCGCCTGCTGCTGTTGGTGATGGTGGTGGTGGTGGTGGTGGTTGTGGTGCTGGTGCTGGTGGTGGCCGTGGTGGCCGTGGCTCTGAGCGTCCGAACAGTTCCTCTCGTCCGATGCGCCCGCAATCTCAGCCAACGACCACAGCTTGGGTTTGGTGGGCGTCGCGCCGTTGCCTCCGCCGGTGTTTCCGTTGCTGGCGTTGCCGCCGCCGGCGGCGGCGGCGGCGGCGGCGACCGCGCCCACGCGGTCGCCGCCGCCGCCGCCGCCGGCACCGCCGCCGGCACCGCCCGCGTTGATCCTGGAGGCGCCGGGCGACTGCGACGCGATGAAGGTCCCGTTTGCCGGCGCCTGCCCCGTGCTCGAGTTCTCCAGCACCGGCGATCCCCGGCCCAGCCGCGGCGCCTCCGTGCCGGCGACGGGCGACGTGGTGAGTATCGACGGCGACGCGTTCATGGCGGCCGACGTGTGCTGCACCAGCGAGGGCCGGTCAGGCGCGCTGGCGGGCTGCTGCTGCGAGCCGGGCGGGGGAGTCACGAGGACGACGGAGGCGCCACCGATGCCGCCGGTCGCGGAGGTCGGGAAGAGCCGCTCGTCATCCCCGTCCGACATGTCGCAGCCCGGGCCGGCGCGGTGCGCCGACGCCGCGTCGCACTTTGAGGCGCCGCCGCCGCCGCCGCCGTCTCCCGGGACGGCGATGACGTGGACCCTGTCATCTGCGCGTGAGCAGCACACACGGACCGAACGTCGCGCACGGGTGGAGGGTCAGTTTGGTTTTTGAGATGCGGGCGTCACTGGTGAACTCCGTGCCAACTGCTCCCGCCCAATCCCCCAGAACGGTGGAGGACCCGGCACCCGTGCTCCGACTGCCCAGCGTGAGATCGCGCGCGCTCGGTGGACAAACCTTGAGACTCCGATGCTGGCTCCGACACGTTGAGGATGAGGTCTCCGTCGCGATCGCTCCTCTCCGAGGAGTCGCCCAGCTCCTTGCCACCGCTGCCGTCATTGTCGTCGTCCTCCAGCTCATCGTCGCTCCGCGCCTTGGTCACCCACGTCATCTTGTTCTCCTTCTTGAGCCGCCGGCGGGCGTTCGCGAACCACGTTGAGACCTGGGTTGGGCGCGGGGATGGGGGTGGGGGGGGGGTGTGACGGCGTGGTCAGGGCACACTTGGGGCGAGTGGTGGTGCCAGTGATACCGTCACGTGACCAGGGGTATCAGATAATGGACAGGCCACGTGGTTTGTTTACGTAAACATTCATAGCACTTCGCGTGACAAGTTTCGAACCCGTTCATATATCACCGGCCACTGATGTTGGCATCGAACAGGAATCAACAGCAGTTGTCCCATGGATAGACGTGTCCCAACATAGGAATGTGTAATTTCCATCACTGGCTGAGGGATGTAAACAGGAGATGAGAACCGCTGCTATTTTTACTTGAGCAGAAAATCACTTTGACTTTTTGTGTGAATGCGTAACCATTAGGGACTGTAAACATGGGTTTGCCAGACACTTGAAAGTTTGACGAGGACAACAATAACAGATCCATGCTGCGAAAGAACTGACTATGCCAAATGCTGTGGGTCCAGAGTTGAGGTTACAAAGAACAATGAACCCCACGGGGCTAGGGTTGTGCCTTTATACCACTATGCATACACCTAAGTATTTGAAAAGGGATTAAGAATCAAATACATGTGTAAACAAATTGAGCTGTGGCTTTAATGAGGCTAAGAATGAATATAAACGGTGAAGGTGCAGCCCTGCAGTGACTTGTTCACACCACTGCTAGGGAAAGGGCCTCGTGGGAGCTCTTGAGAGCCGCTGCCGACGGTAGTTTGGCCTCCTCTTCCACGCTCGATATACATCGTGATAGAAGTCAGAGTAACCCACACTTTACCTCACCATGCGTGACCAGTCAATCGACTATCCTACAACACCTGGTATACCCGTGCATTCCTAGTGCTAACCAGGTGGACCCCTGCTGGCAGGAGGTCACGAGACGGAACCGGGCGTTATGGGTTGACTGCGTTGCGACTGTGCAAACTCGTCACTTCGCCCATCGTTGTGAGCATCGGCGGCTTTACCCTCCAACAACGGCCTCCAACAACTGCCTCCAACAACTCCTTCCAACAACTGCCTCCAACAACTGCCTCCTCCAAATTCCTCCAACAACTGCCTCCAACAACTGCCTCCAACAACTGCCTCCAACAACTGACTTCAACAACTGACTTCAACAACTGCCTCCTCCAAATTCCTCCAACAACTCCTTCCAACAACTGCCTCCAATAACTGCCTCCAACAACTGCCTCCAACAACTGCCTGCAACAACTGCCTCCAACAACTGCCTCCTCCAAATTCCTCCAACAACTCCTTCCAACAACTGCCTCCAACAACTGCCTCCAACAACTGCCTGCAACAACTGCCTCCAACAACTGCCTCCAACAACTGCCTCCTCCAAATTCCTCCAACAACTCCTTCCAACAACTCCCTCCAACAACTGCCTCCAACAACTGCCTACAACAACTGCCTGCAACAACTGCCTCCAACAACTGCCTCCAACAACTGCCTCCAACAACTCCTTCCAACAACTACCTCCAACAACTGCCTTTAACAACAACCCTCCAACAACGGCTCCCAACAACTCCCAAGTAGCTTCCTTCTATGCACACGCACACACACACGGCTCTCTCAGCACCACCACCACCACCCACCAACCTGGGTGAGCGTCATGCGCGTGATGATGGCCAGCATGATCTTCTCCCCCTTGGTGGGGTAGGGGTTCTTGCGGTGTTCGTTGAGCCAGGCCTTGAGCGTGGCCGTGGCGTCGCGAGTGGCGTTCTTGCGGAACGCCGGGTCCGCCACGCCGCATCCTCCGGCCCCGTATGGGTATCCGACTGGACCCAGGGTCGGGTGGCTCGCGCCGCCGTAGGGGTGGTAGGTGAGGGGGTGCGCATCGTAGGGGGAACTCTGCGGGAAACGCGGGGGAGAGATGGCACGTTGAAAATAAAGTTGCAACGTATGTGTGTGTGTGTATGTCGAATTTATTTCGCACCGTACGTAGCCAACAATGCATATCGGAGGTGCGGAGGAAGGATCACAAACGAAACACATATAGCAGTTCTAAAGAAATGAGTTTTCAATCTATATGCTTTAAAAGTGCAAAGCTCCAGTGGATTCCTAATATCAGAAGGAAGAGAGTTCCAGACGTCCGCAGAAGCGCATCCGAATGCGCACAGTGCGCTAGCCAAAAGCTGCTGCTGCGAGGATGATCGGAGTTTGCATGAGGGTTCATGCTCCTTGACAAGATCAGCGAGGTATTGTGGTTCGATTGTGGCAAGCACTTTGTGTTTAATGAGTGCGACCTCATCACGCATTCGTCCGGCAACCGGAAAAACCTGGGGAAGCTGCGCACAATGTAATGGTCAGCGCACTGGACTTGCGAGCTCGAGGTTTGCCAATCGGATTCAATCTCCCGATTCACAAGGTGAACCAATTGTCAAGTGTCTTTAATCCCCACACCGCCACCTCTGTACACCCAGCAGTATGAATGACTACAAGCACAGTTAAGTCAATCGGCAAGTCGTGTACGGTGGGGTAAAAAGTGTGGGTACTCCCTCCTCCTCCAAGACATCTGGCCAGGTTGGAAGAATAGGCCAGTACCCTCTATAGGGTCTCTCTAGAGATCCCTCAAGTGGAGGCTCTTCAATGGCATGAGCAAGTGGTTGTCCTATGGATGGACTTGCCTTCAGCACAGGAATGTGGAACTTCCACCAATGGCTTTAGGGCTGCAAACCGGAGACGAGCAGTACCTCAATGCTCATTTGAGCAGGAAGTCACTTCGACTTTGACCTGCACGTTAACTGGATTTCGTCGCTCCATCTCCTCAGTGGACAACGTTCCCCGGGAATGTTAAATTAATGAACTGCTTTGAAGTGGACCATTCTCCAAGGAAAGTCCTGAGCACTCCAACGTATTCAATCCAATTAGCCCCATGAGTCAAAATCACCGCAACTCGAAAGCTCAGTGAGCCTCACAAGGTATAATAAAAAAAAATGTTGTTTATATAGTAGTTTATAAGTGGAGTGCAGCTGTTGACAGCAACGAGACACCGTTGACAGCAAAGAAACACTTCAGAGCAACACCTTTGCATTCAACAAGGGCTGCGTGTTAATGTTAAGCAACGATCTCCGTTCACTTTTAATGAGTTACGAGTAAATTCCGCAATTCCAGTTAATTGCACAGTGTGTGATGTTGAGCAAGGGAAGGGCACAGCGCTGCAAGTGCCTGCTCACGCCACTGCTGGCGGAAGGGACACCCACGTCTAGACAGCACCTCTAGAAGGTAATTGGCCTACTCTTCCACGCTGGACAGACGTTTGGGAAAAAGAATGTCATAACGGCTTTGAGTCTTGTTTCACATCCATTTGCAACGTGCGGCAGAACGTGCTGCACGTTTATTGTATCGTGGTTATCGCATTGGCTACCAAGCCCGGCAGCCTTCAGTCGAATCGTAAGTGTGCGAGTCGTATGTGTACAATTGTAACATGAGATAGTTAAATATAATATAGTTTAAATAGTTTAATAGTTTGAAATACAGGGTGGAGCGGTAGCACGCACAGTGGTTAGCGCACTGTCCTGTGAACCCGGCGAACTGAGTTAGATTCCCCGCTATGCAGTGGTCAGTGATTTCTGAACTAGTCCTGATGATAATGAACCTTTTAACAAGTGAAGTATAGGCCAAACAAGGCATGGGGAGGCCTCTATCCAGCAGTAGATTTAAAAAGGACTGTCCATTATTACTATTGTTTCCATCACCATAATCATCATCCATCTAGGGTTGGTAAAATGACCACCAATTTTTGTGGTTGATTTACCCCGAGCGGTAAAGCTCCCACCAGAGGAACGTGGCATTTTCATAATGATTATCGTTCGGGTTATCAAGGTGGGTGACGCTGTGCCAAAGCATTTAACTCACAATCTATAGACGTGAATAAAGTAGTTCGAATCGCAGGCAGGGTTAGGCTCAGCCCATCACCACTTTGAGGCCGATAAAATCGGGTACTGGGTCGCCGAAAGTCAACAGTGATCATGCCGGGAGAGACTGGCCCCACCATAGAAGGAGTATAAAAAACAAAGGTGCAGGCATAAAATGATCCGGGCAAACCACGACTGGCGGAAGAACCTCCAACAGAGGGTGCTCCAGAGAGCGCCTACTCTTCCATACTGTCCAGGCGTCTTGGAAGAGAGCTGGGGGAAGCCACACTTTACCCCGCCACAAGCACACGACCAGCAGTCTCAGCCAACTGTGGTGTTCCCGTTTATTCTGCTGGGGTGAACAGTGGCAACGAACACCGTTGCCGCAAATCCGGCGCACCAAGTTGGAAGCGAACCGGCGGACCGATTGATCTCAAGTCCAGTGCGTTCACCGTTACACAGACGACAGCGACGAGGAAGTTGTGCTAATCTGCGCCGATGGCTCAGGGCCACCAACAGAGACGGGTGCCCTGGGTCGTTCAGAGCTGCGAGAGACACACTTTGACTTTCACCTTTACTCGATTAATATTTAACCCCAATCCGCATCAGAGAGAGCTTGAGAAGGGCCAACTTGATTGTCCGAAATGGACTCTAAATGCCGATACCGCTAGTGCATTATACTTAAATAGCACGCCGCCACGCCAGGCAAATTTCATTATTGAAAGTGCAATAGCAACAGGGGGCACCGGTGGATAATTTGAGCAGCTCGGCCTGGATTCTTTTTTAGAAAGGCCACACCTGCTGCTCGCGATGGCTGTGATCTTCCCAGGGTGTTACACATCGTGTTATTTGACATCAAACACACTCAAGGACTTCCCGGATACCGTGTATAATTGATGTAGTCTCTCTCTCCATTTCCCCTGTAGCTCCCCCCCCCCCTCAATACCCCTCCCCCCCCCTTAACGCCCCCCTGCCAACACCACCGCTCCCCCACCCCCAAAATACTTGTACCCTGTCACATCCCCACATCCATTCTTTTGCTGCGCGCGCCCCTCCCCCAAAACGAAATCAAATTCTGCGTGGTTCATATCATCCAGCGCAGCGCTCTATTCGTCTGCACTCTCAGGGCAAGTCCGTGTCAGTGGCACAGGCCGTGGAGAGGAGAGTCCGGCACATGTTGTGTGCGCGTGACTTGTTCGCGTGAAACGCGGAGGGGTGCAGTAGTCACCCTCACCTGTTTTGAAGTTTCTGTTCCTTAATTTGACTCTCAATGGTTTCGAAAAGAAATTTGTCCAAGCCAACTTTTGTGACGGGGATTTCTTGAAATTTAACATTGTTAATATGTGTGCATTGTTTTCGTTTCTGCTGTAATGAGATTATATTTTCTCTGAGCTGTCTTTATTTTAACAGTATTATTACATATTATAACTTATAAGACAAGCATGCAAACGATGAAAAAAATGTCACTCCAGTGAATCATCTATTGTCTAGTTGTAAAAAAAAAAGATATTTAATTGAGACTGGGTTTCAGTCTATGAAGTCAAATTACACAAACGTGCCAGCCATGTCAATGTGTACACCACAGTTAGTCAATGGGCAGGTCGTGTGTGGTGCGGTGAAGTGTAGATACTCCCACCTCTTCAAAGACGTCTTTCCAGTGTGACAGGCTATGCTCAATACCCTCAAGGGAGGGGCTCTCTAGAGCCCCCTTGAGCGGAGGTCCTCATGCCAGCAGTGACGTGAGCAGGCAATTGCAGCGCCGCGCCTTTACCCTTCCACGCAAAAAACAATTGTGAGGCAAACGCCTATCTCCCCTGAGCCGGCAGTGGAAATTACACATTCCCTCGGAAGGTGCCAGTCTGTCCGTCCATGTGATGACTTCAGCTGGCTTAATATCAAGTGATAAACATGTCAGTCGAAACGAAACAATAATAAGTGATGCTGTTCAGATGCCCTAAAGTTCCCATCCACCGGACTGCAGAAAAGTATGCCGAGAACAGGAAATAATTGAAACACTGGATAGACATGGCCGCATTATTAATAAACATGATGAAGTCGCCACATTTCCAGGAAGGTAACTTTGCGAAAGACTTGCTTTGTTCCAATCACGTGGCCCTAAAACGCGGAATCATCCATCCGAACAAATTTTTCAACAACTTATTCGGATATTTTTTTTTTAAGTGGTCTAATTTATTTTACTGGTGCTCTACCAACAAGGTGATTATCAGACAATTGGTGTGCAGGCTTCTATTCATAGGCGACATTATGCATTCCGCGTAATTTTGTTGGTTCGGGTCACAATTATGTAACGACAACCCTTGTGTTTGTTCTTGCAATAATCTAACTTATGCTGTGAAGCGTAATTATGGGCAATCGCTTAGGGACGTGAGCAGGTGATTGCCCAGACAATACTAACTGTCATTGTGGCAATTAGGCTGAGGCAGATGAGCGATTATAATGTGTGTATAATGTGTGTGTGTGCATACATAGCCATGTGTGTGGGTGTCTGTGCTTGTGCGCAAGGACGTGTGTGTGTGTTTGTTTTTAATTCGATGTTTGTGGACGAAGGAGTGATGCTCCTTCGCCAGGTGGATAAAACACAATTTGGGCACGGTAGGGACTACAGGTGGTGCATCTACCAGTCACCACGTGCAGTCAAACCCATAACACCTGGGTCTCCTCCATGATCTCCAACCAGCAGCGAGCCTTCCACACCTCACGTGGCCTCAAAGTGCACCCAGCCTGGCACGAGCGCTATAGTGATGTCACTCTCACTGTATTGTGTCGGTAGCGGTGGCAGTGGTTCGCGGAACGTGCTGCAATTGCAATAACCTGGGTTTGACTCCCTGCCACTGTCAACATTCGTGGCGAGAGAGGCATATGTAGACACTTTCAAGAGCTTCCCGATGGACTCAGCTGTGAGTAAGTGCCTCGTGCTGTGTGCAAATGTCAGGAGTGGGGAGACAAAGGCAGCAGGGCATTGTGCTAGGCATT